AAGCTAGGTCACACCCATGGCTAGCCCCCCCTAATGTAGGTCCCACCCCTAATGTTCACTTGTTCGAATTATAACTCTGGCCTTTGTCCTTACCTACTCCGCCAGAGATATCTCGTGAAATCCTGCAGGAAATGTTCTCTCCGTGAAAATGTAAAGAGGACGAGATGTCTGTTAATATACACGAGTAATGGGGCGCATTGCATGCCGGGATGAGCTGCTGCCGGCCTCCGAGCTCCGTTTCGAGGCCGCCAAGCCAAGCACAATGCGCGCGGGATGACGTCACGCACACAACGATTACGCGATCGATCGAAAGTAGCGCCGTTAGGGATTTTCGGATAATACCGTCCTCTTTACCTTTTCACGGAGAGAACATTTCATGCAGGATTTTACGAGATATCTCTGGCGGGAGTAGGTGAGGACAAAGACCAGAGTTATAATTCGATAAAGTGAACATTTATGTACACATAGATACCAAGATGGGAGCTGTTGGATGTGTTTTCGTTCTGTAATCGTGTTGAAATGAAGCGAGCGTCGAGCTGCGAATTTCCGCGATCACGCTTTCCTACCTGCTCTCTTATTCATGTTGTTTCTGCACGCAGCACAGGGGCGGGCGTGCGGTGTACTTGTGTGTTGCAGATGGACATTTGACCGCATTTACAGGTGATTATAGGCGAAATAGAGTAGAGAATCCTTTCAATAATGCCATAAAAATGCTAGGTCACTGCTCCGTCAGACCATGTCCTCAGAAAATGTCTAAAATCTGCCCTGTGCCCATTGACCTTTGACCTGTGACCTCCAATTTCGGAGGCACAGTGATGGCTTTTCCTACCATGATGCTATACACCAAATATTAAGAGCATAGGTCGAGCCGTTCAGATTTGTGTCGCAATTCCGTATTTCCTCCTATACCTTAAGTTAAGTGATTACGTCACCGTAAATAGTAAAAGTAAAAAAAATATTCCCACTTTTTCACAAAATGTAAGTAATTCTGTTCACTTTTTATGGTTAAATTGCTGCATTATATTTCCTATTTTACTATATTGTTCGATGTGAACATACACTCGTGACTCATACATAGCCCATAGCAAGCAATTAACGTCAGGAACATAATATCAAATCGTCCAGGTTTTTTGGATTTTTAACTAGTTGAGAAACAATCTTATCAGGTGAGAATTTGACAATACGTTTAGTCCCGTTAGTTCTTACTTTTAATGTAAAAAAATGGCAACAAAAATTTTACAATTTTTACCATAGAAAATTTGTGACGTAGTCAATATTCCCCCTCCGTTGACACATCTTGACCTTTGACCATTGACCCCACAAATTGGTCATCCCGAGTCCATTTCACGCCCCCCCCCCCGTCGTCATGAATATCGTAACCGTACGACGAGCGGTTAAGATTTGTGCCCAACTGTTGACGGACTGACGCACGGATGGACGCTCATGCGATTCTACAAGCTGCATCTGACTTCGGATGCAGATGAGCTAATAATATAATAATGAAACTAAAAAAAAATTTAAAATGTATACAAAAAATCTGCACCCTCTTCTATAAAAATTTAAAAAGAAATCATCAGAAGATGAGAGAAACTGCACCCTTTTCTCCGGGTCGTCAGAATGATGCTCGTGGTGTCGTTCGTGGTGATGATGGTGCTTGTGCTTGTCCTTGCTTCGCTTCTTCTTTTTCTTCTTGTGCCGTCTGCTTCCGTGCGCCTCATTCTCGACCAGTGAACCCTCGCTCTCGGGCGCTGGCGACGATATGTAGGCGTTGGGCGACGCTGACGGAGTGTCTCCTCCACCGACCTTCAATACGAGCTTCAGAGGTTTCTCAATCCTCTCTGCACCTATTAACGACAGTAGATTACATAGGATAGAAGAGTACACACGAAAACGTTGGTAGAAAATGCAATTTTTGTTCGTTTAACATCATTGTATTGTTAAAACGAATCAGGTTAAGGGTTCATGGATATAAGCGCTGACCACAATGCATAATTGCATTTTTGCAAATGTGGACAGCTCTTAATATCCTTTGGCCCAGGTTAAGTGCACATGAACTTATGACGTGCTGTGTAAGTGACTTTGTCATTGTGTAAATGTGTGTTTGACTAATCAGACTGTCACTGACGCTGAGAGGGTCTATGTCCCCCAGGGTACTGCCGGAATGTACCCTTGTACTATCTAATAGCCGACCGTACTCACCTACTCCACTAACGAGTCTAGGGAGTCGCCTACGCCTATTCCCTAACGCCTAACCAATATCAGATAGTTACCAGGGTACGTTCCGGTATACCCGGAGCCATTGTAGAACTTGTTTGTGCAATGTTCGACACGATTGTTACACCATACCCAGGGTACGCTTCGGCAGTACCCTGGAGACATATGACCCTATGAGCGTCACATAACACTGTCAGAGAGTGCGGTGCCAACCGTAAAATAATGCATTATGCATCGTGTCACGACACAGGCAAATCTGTGCACCATTCTTGTTGATAAATAGACTGTAGCCGTGTGAGTATGCACAGATGTGTGCATAATGCACATTTCAAAACCTCACAAGTCACACATGAACATACTGACGTATAGTCTCACGTTGGCGTTGCTAGGTAGTATTAGTGCATCACATGATAAATCGTTGAAATTCTATTGGATAACGTCGCGGTACTATGAAACAATGGTGCCGCCGCTCACTATTGCTTGCGCGACGGAATGTTTAAATCCGCAATATAAGCTACAGTAATTTTCTTGAAATTAGCGCATTCCTGCTCCAAAAATAGCCAGCCCTGCTGAAAAGTTACAGTCAGGGACTATGGGACCAGCTGCTATTTCAACCACTGGTATATGTCAGGTTTTCTGATTTATGAGAAGGTGAACTCGATTGGCAACCAGCAAACCAGCAGTTCACCCCTACATTTTGGTATTTTTATTTGCATTATTATTTTGAATTTTCCGATGGCTTTGCCCATGCAAAACAAACATTTCACCCACATGCATGCTTTAAATTTACACACAGAGTGTCCCCAGATTGCATCTCAGAACTTCTACAATTCAAAAATGTTCTGGAGGGCATGCCGCCACGCCCCCCCCCCCCTAGCACTGAGCAGCACCCCCATGCATAATGAATAAGCTTGGAGAACTGGGATTATGATTATGGACATTGATAATACTAATAAACACAAGGAAGAATATGATATATGCTGTTTATTACTGTAATTTGCTCCAAAATTGGCAGGCTACAGCTTTGCTGGCGGCCTACAGCTTTTAGGAGCTATAGGCCTGCAGGCCTACAGCTTTTCTGCTCAGTGGCAAAACACTGACTATGGTAGTAGTACTAGAATAGCTCTAAGTACTATAGCCCGCTTACATTAACTGTAGCTGCAGCCGACAACTGTACGCGGGCTATAAGTAGCTAAGACTATAAGCTAGTGCCAGTAGTTAGGCCGCTCGACACATGTCCACCTGAAGGCTGTGAGTTCAATCCCCGGCCGCGGCAGTGAATTTTCTCAAGGTGTAAAAACCTGGCTCTCAACATTGGAGACTGTGAATCTCCCGTGGCTCGGGTGACCACTAAAATGGCGGTCCCGTCTCAGTATATACAAGGCCAATGGGGACGTAAAAGAACCACTAAGGGCGCAAAAAACTCTGGCTGTGACCACCCTCAGTGCCATTCGGCTAAAGGCTAACTACCTGGCTTTACCCAAGCTAGGTCACACCCCATGGCTAGCCCCCCTAATGTAGGTCCCACCCCTAATGTTCACTTGTTCGAATTATAACTCTGGCCTTTGTCCTTACCTACTCCCGCCAGAGATATCTCGTGAAATCCTGCAGAAAATGTTCTCTCCGTGAAAATGTAAAGAGCGACGAGATTCTGTTAATATACACGAGTAATGGGGCGCATTGCATGGCCGGGATGAGCTGCTGCCGGCCTCCGAGCTCCGTTTCGAGGCCCGCCAAGCCAAGCACAATGCGCGCGGGATGACGTCACGCACACACGATTACAGGCGATCGATCGAAAGTAGGCGCCGTTGGGATTTTCGGATAATACCGTCCTCTCTTTACATTTCACGGAGAGAACATTTCATGCAGGATTTTACGAGATATCTCTGGCGGGAGTAGGTGAGGACAAAGACCAGAGTTATAATTCGATAAAGTGAACATTTATGTACACATAGATACCAAGATGGGAGCGTGTTGGAGTGTGTTTTCGTTCTGTATATCGTGTGAAATGAAGCGAGTCGTCGCGAATTTCGCGATCACGCTTTCCTACCTGCTCTCATTATTCATGTTGTTTCTGCACGCAGCACAGGGCGGGCGTTGCGGTGGTACTTGTGTGTTGCAGATGGACATTTGACGCGCATTTACAGGTGATTATAGGCGAAATAGAGTAGAGAAACATTAAGACTGGTACATTTCGTGTTTATTTACCATTAATTTTTTTTATTGAGACGTTCCAAGTCAAGTGCCTGTGACAACCACTGGCAGCAAGAAACCAGTCCGCTGCAGCTACAGCACACCACATCGGCCATTGTCTATATATAACATCTGTTATATATAGACAATGTATATATAGACAATCGGCCGTGTGTGTGCTGTAGGCTGCAGGCGGACTGGTTTCTTGCTGCAGTGCCAGTGGTGACAACCACAGGCACTTGAAGCATTATCAACTGTAAACATACGGCGCCGCCATTGCGCGTACACTAACACATATATGTGAGCTCATTATATATGTATTAGTGTTTGCGCAATGGGCGGCGCCGCTGCGCTTACAGTTGATATGCTTCAAGTGCCTGTGGTGACAACGACCGCTTGAAGCGTAATTTACCTGCGGGCGTGCGAGGTACGCCAGCCGCGGTCGTTAAGCCTGCTTGTTACGTTAGGGTTAGGGTTAGGGTTAGATTAGGGTTAGGGTTAGGTTTTAGGGTTATGGTTAGGTTAGGTTTAGGCGTTAGGGTTAGGGTTTCTTGCTCATCTAAACTCTCAAATTGTGAATTTATTCCTCCAAGGCGTATTTTGAAATCTGGCGCGACCGCCGCCATCTTTGTCTCGTTAAGTATGAAGCGAATGGACTGGCGTACCCTAGCCTCGAGACATTAAGAATACTAGACAAAATACACCACAGTGTATAACTCTCTTTGTCCATTGTTTAGATGAGTCCCATCATTTGTAATCTGTATCAAGACACCATCATTGAATAAAGACTGATTCACAAAATGGATGCGTTCCTATCTAAGGCGAAAGAATCGGGCAAACGCTCCGCCTCCGTCTCATCGACCCACACACTAATGGTGCCGAAGCAGTCAGCAGCTCTTACAAACGTGGCATAAACGACTCTCTAAAAGATCGCAGTAGGTATGACAATACGAATATTGACAAGTCAGGAAATTGTGCTCATACTGCCGTGTAAAGAAAGGCCACGGAGTCGTAAACTCTCGCCAAGGTTAGACAGAAGGAATGCCCTGCGTATGGCCACACATGCCAACGCTGTGACAAAAACCACCACTGTTACAGCATGTGCCAGGAGGCAGGAACAGGCTAAGTACAAGACGATTGGCAAAGTCATTTGATGAACCAAGGTGCGGTGTTCGACCACTTGTGCCTCAATCACTACTCTCTGCTCGACGCAACGGTGAAATATAACTCTCGACCACCACCTTTACAACCAACTATCAGACGCTTGGATAAAGCGCAAGTCCAAACCTCAGCCGTTTGTTAACCTCACAGTGGGTGCACACCCTGAAGACTACAAACGTCTTGGTCTTACGCTCACATCCACACCCAGGTCATCGTCATCCCTTCACATGTGCTGACACTGGTTGCCAAAGTTGCCTGGCGAGTCTCAAGGTCGTCAATCCCCGCGGCTCGCTCTAGGTAAGGCCGACCTCATCCCAGTGACATTGCGGATGAATGCAGCCAACGACAAAGCATCAACATCTTGGGTGCGAGCAATGCCTACGTTTTTCTGGCAAGGACACATCTGGCAATACGCTTGAGACACGCCAAGTTACGTACATCAGCTGATAACTCAGACAAACTCTTTATCAGCAGAGAAGCTTGCATTCGCCTAGGCATGATCAGAGACACATTCCCAACCGTAGGTGAAACCAGCAACGATCAGGCGGCACATTCTGGTAGTGATGACCACCTAGCTCGTGACGAAAATGACAGCGCGGGCTCGCGACCGAGTGTTGAATGTCCTCGACGCCAGCTGCCGCCCCCACCACCGTCGAGTCTACCATTTCCAGCGACTGAAGACAATCGAGAGGAGCTGAGACAATACCTCCTTGATCGTTACAAATCGAGCACATTCAACACGTGCGAACACCAACCACTGCCGATGATGGAAGGCCCCCCGCTACATCTAATGGTGACCCAGATGCCGAACCCGTAGCAGTACATTCTCCGCTGCCTGTAGCCGCATCCATTTGGCGAGACGATGTTTAAAGCTGATTATAGACAGAGAGTACGGGTGGCCCTACTGGAACAAGTACTCAGTAGGTGAACCGGTGCATGGTTGCCACCGCATGCTCGTTGCTGTGCGTAAGAAAAACGGCAAAGCGAGAACGGACAGTTGACGCATGCCAACCACTTAACACGCATGCAACACGTGAAAACCCCAGCACACACAGTCTACCATTGCCCCAAGCGCTGTCGTCCCACATGGACGGTAAATAACTGGTTTCGACGACGTGGAACGGCTACCACAGTGTACCACCCCGGGAAAGAAGATACAGCAGCCTTACCACCTTCATCACGCACCTATTGGGTAAGATGACGTTTATTACCCCCGCACACCCGATCAGGGGCTAGCATTGGGCATCACGGCGACTGGCTACTCCAGAAGATTTGACGAGATTGTCTGCGATGTCCCCAACAAAAGCCAAATGTATCGGACGACACACTACTCTGGCCGACAACCTGGAGGAAAGTTTCTACCAGGCATGTAACTGGTTAGATATCTGCGGCAGGAACGGGATACACCTCACCCTGAGAAATTTGTATTCGGCCAGGCCACTCCCGTTAATTTGCCGGGTTCGAGATTACACCAGACCAGCGTGAGGCCTTGCAAGCAATTCCTGCAAGCGATCATGGACTTTCCAAAACCACAGGAACATCACGCGACATCCGCCTTTGGTTCGGACTCGTCAACGCAGGTGTCATACGCCTTCAGCATGACAGAACGGATGCGCTCCATTCCGCGAGTTCTCAAGCCTGGAAAAGCATTCCACTGGGATGCTCACCTGACAGAATTACTTGAAGAATCAAAGCTGGCGATAGTGAGCACGATAGAAGAGGGCGTACGAATCTCGACAAATCAAAGCCAACCTGCCTTGCCACAGACTGTCTAAAGTCGGAATCGGATTCTGGCTTTTCCAGAAGCACTGCACCTCCGGCTAAGACAGAATTGTTTGTTGTCACTACTGGATGGAGAATAACACTGGTAGGCAGTCGCTTCACCCGACCCCGCCGAATCACGCTAATCTCCAGTAGAAGGCGAAGCCCTTGCCCTTGCCGACGCACTTGGACAAGGCTCGGTACTTCGTGCTTGATGCAAGGATCTCATAATTTCGGGGGCGACCACAGAACCACTTCTCAAGTTATTTGGCGACAGATCACTCGATGACATATCAAACGCCACGTCTCAGAAACCTGAAGGAAAAGACGTCAGATATAGATTTCGGCATGACCCATGTACCTGGCGTGAAGCATCGAGCCGCAGACATGTCTCCCGCCACCCGACTGGCGACCTCGTCGCCAAAATGCAACTCGAAGATGACATCGCTGCCAATCAGGCACGTTCCACAGAGCAGCACCACCCACCAGATCTGTACACAACAGCGGGATGTATACCGCAACTTCATCTCCGGTATTCGCTGCAGAGACGACCCCCAGGACAAAGATGGAAGACATCGTCCACCTTCGCCGCACTTCATCACTGATCCTCGCTACAAACTATCACGGTGGACAAGGTCCGCACAGCACATGTAGTGACGTTAATACGAACAAGCTGGTCGACTTGATCGAAACAGGCATGCCAGAGTTCCGCCATGAGTTGCCCACGCCACTGCAGGAATATCAATCAGTTCCGGGGATCATCTTTACACAGTAGATGGCGTCAATATCTACAAGACAGAGTCGTGATCCACCGTCACTCAGACATGACTGTTTGACGGCCCTTCATGCCGCACACCAGAGCAGCGTCAACGATGATTGCAAGAGCAGAAATATCCGTGTTCTGGCCTGGAATTACTCACGCGCAACTCGCTGCCGTCAGAAGTAGCTGCACCCATTGCAACCGAATGGCACTTCACAGCTAGCGCACCGCCCGACACCCACAACAACGCCGTATACCCATATCCAATGTGTATGTGCTGATTATTTCCACTACAAAGGCACCAACTACCTGGCAATCGTGGACAGATTACTCCAATGGCCTATCGTGAAAAGGCCTCATGTGGTTCCACTGGGTCTAGTTGAGCAGCCTCCGCAGAGCATTCGCTCGTACACCTATTGGCATACCCGACGAACTCGCATCTGACGGTGGCCCTGAATTTACTGCTGGGCCGCAACCCGCGAGTTCATGAAGAACTGGGTTTCATCACTCACGCTTATCGTCTGTTGCCTTCCCCACAGCAACTGTCGTGCAGAGTCGGAGTGAAACTGTCAAACGATCTATAACTGACAACACAGGACCATACGGGTGAACTTGACACAGACAACTCCAACGTGCAATGCTGCATGTACCGAAATTGCCCTGACAAAGACACCAAACTCTCCCCTGCGATGTGCGTTTTTGGCAGAGCTATCAAGGACTTCATCCGCTGTCTCCGCGGTCGTTACCTGCCACATAGCACATGGAAAGAGACATTGGGCGCGAGGGAGGAAGCGATTGAGAACCGACATATGAGGGCTGCTGAACGTTGGATGGAACACACAAAGCGACTCCCACCCCTTGTAGTTGGCACCACGTCAGGATCCAGAACCAAACTGCCCTAGCCCACTAAGATGGATAAAACTGGAAGCAGGTGATAGAGGTCCGCCAACATGAGCCAGTACGTGGTCCGTGTCGACGGTCAGGACGAGTTACAGTCCGCAATAGAAGTTCCTGCGGATGTATACACCGGTACACCCGCACCTGCCACGTACCAGTATCATTGATGACATCAGCAAGTATGCATCTAGATGGCCAGGTCAAAGCCATGGGAAACCTCCATAGGCGCATGTGAACATGGAGGGCAGTGCCACCTCAGAGTCATCACCAACCACCATCGTACCCACCCGGAACCCGCTACCCCACGAGTCCGGAGCGTCATCGGTCACCACCATCCAAACGACCAGGCCCGGTCCCCGGATGCCCATCAGCAGTCTCGACCGACTTCCGATGAGACAATCATTACACCCGCTAGACCTCGACAATCGCCTGGGGGTCCACATCGCAACCAGCAACTGTCTCCTCGGGCATCACCCACGAAGCCCAGTCCACAGCCGGACACAGTGACGCTGCCGGACGATCCTGCACCGACCAGAACCGCGACACGCGTCAGGCAACAACCTGCCTGGCAGACATCGGGCGATTATGATATGACAAAATAGTGTTGTATTTGTGACATCATTAACTTATTAACTTGTGGCATCATAAACTTTACTTGTTAATTCTTAACGTTAATTTCGCATGGACAAGTGCTCTTAATCAATCATTGAGTTATTCACCATAAGTATGTAAAGACATCACTCTGAAGATTTATGCTTTCGTTTCATGTGTTACTTTTAATCAGTCAGTCATTGGCACCTTTCTCTAAATACGAACATCCCAAAGACTTGGGGGAGATAGACAATAATACACCACAGTGTAACTCTCTTGTCCATTGTTTCAGATTGAGTCCCATCATTTGTAATCTGTATCAAGTACCATCATTGAATAAAGATGCTATTCACAAAATGGATGCGTTCCTATCTAGATACGCTGGCGTAAGCCTCCAGCCACTGGCTAATTTACTAGAGACTAGAGACTAGAGTGAATTTACCACTGTACCAGTGCCACATACCTTCCGATGATCTTTCTAGTGATCTGGGCCGTTTCTCGCCTCTATGGTGTTTTTTATGCTTTTTGCTACCCATAATTGGTCTCAAGTAAGCTATTTGCTACAAGCGATAATGGTTTTTAACACTTTTGTTGTGGTATTTTACGTTTCGCCGGAGAAAACAAACTAACAAAGCCGAAATCTTAGTTTATTTCACCTTTCATCTGCAAGGTGGCACCACAATTGCCGAGTAGGTATCGGGAAGTATCGCTCTAGATTAAGCCGAGAAGACACGATGCAGGTTATTTTCCGTTAGACCAGTACCATCCCTTCTCGCAAGCTCGATATAGCCCTATATCGAGCTTGTGAGAAGGGATGGTACCAGTCTAATTTTACGTTTGATTTTTTAATTTATTTTAATTCGGAATGTTCCTTATTATGGCTTATGTCATTTCGGGCTATCTAAGCATAGATATATACAACATATGTGTTGTATATATCTATGATCTAAGTAACAGAGTAGAATTAAAATTATTAATCACGTAATTATTTTTTTTATCTTATATGTGTGTACGTACGTGGTATACCGTACCATATTATAAAATCATAAAATCATAACACCTTATTTATTAATAAATTATATTTATTTCCTTGCTAAGGATTTTAATGATTTGATTTTTAAATAATTATTATGTACAATGTACATGCTTTTCCTCAACAGTTGAGGCTACGAAATTTCTGGACTCACAATCTGTTTGTGGTGGCTGAGATTTTTACTCCGCAATCTGTTCGTGTTGGCCAAGATATTTTTGGACCCATGATACCGATCACGTATAATAATATGTCTAAAATTGAGGTCCCAGTTGAAAGTGCTATTACTTTCCAACTATTCTATTACAGGGTAGTGAGAAAATATAAGCAATAATCAATCAACAATAACAATAAACAATCAATAATGCCTAGCGGTGAAGAACAATGCAGAGAAAATATGTACACAACAATATTATTCTGTAATATTTATTGTTCACTTATATCTACTCACTTTAATAAGGAGTAAGATAATATAGGATCCTATATTATCTTACTCCTGCTTTAATTAAAGAGCCTATATTGATCTCAATATCAATATCAATACAGATCAATATCGATATCAATATAGGCGCTTTGCTTTAATATAGAATGGTATCTCAAGCATGACTCATACACGACATACGTTTAAAATACCTTTTGTGGTAGTGACCTTCACAAGGCAAATATAAAATTTGCATAAACACAAAGAATAATCAAAAGAAAGGACAGTGCGTTAGGCAGCAGCACGATTTGAAACTCATCACTGTAAAAACCTCTGGGTTAAACAGTTTAACAGATTATAAAATTTCAATACACCCTTGCAAAAATATTCCAACCACAAATCCCTTTTTAATAAAAATATAATCGCACACTATATGGCGTAGGAAGGAAGCACATCACGAGCCTGCACAATCTATACGAGAGCTTTAGCATAGATGCCAACCAGTGACATGGTGCAGCAAACCTGAGAGCATGCAAACTATCACAAGCTATCAATAACTGGCAAGTCACTCACACTGACGCAGCATTATAATGTGGGAAACACAATATTTGGCACCTGTGTACTTATATAAATTATTGCAGCCTCCGGGGTGATCTCTTTTAATGAATGGCAAGTGGCCTTTATACAAATTTGTACCAATCGCACACTGGATAATGGTGTACCAGACTGCAATATGCCAAAATACTTGCAAATGACTCATTTTCAATCTCATTTTCCTTGTGCAACGTGAACACACCTCTATCCACTATCCACAATAGTGTCCGATTCAGTTAAAGCCTACATCACCATGGCAGTACAGACATACACACACAGTCATGCTAACCCATGACATTACACAAATGTACGTACATTCATAATTTGGTACTATCATTGCACATAACATCAAAATAATTTCATCTCTTTGTATAAATAATTAAGATAAACTTTAACTCTGCAGCATACGAGTGATAGACAATACATGCAGGATTTCCTTACAGGAGGACCAGGGATAATACTGCAGTTTGTCACAACCTGATCCTGGGTTGCCCATATAATTACTGTATGGCTATGATTAATGGCAGTAAATATTTGCAATATTGCAGCACAGTCAAACATTTACACGTTTTACTTGTTTCGTTAGTTAACCGATAGATCTCCACGTATTGTTAGTGGATTACAGCTAAAATATGGCAGACTTCAGTCATAAAATATCTATTACACTGAAAGCAACTATCAGAATTAACTGGGAACTTGAAAATAACCGCTTTTACACCCAAGCTTATTAACAATTGATATCAAACAACATTTAAAACCAGAGAGACATGATACAAGATTGCGTGGCACAGCTTTGCTGTTGATCCTGAGCGCTGCGCGCGGATGAGATGCGCAGTTCCGCGGGATATGCGCACGCGACCGCGGGGATGTTCAAGTATTAAGCGCTGTCTGCAGTGGAGACGTGCGCCAAATTCGAGGGCTGGTGCACGTCTCCACAGCGTTCAGCGGATGGTCTGTAGTTTTAGAAGATCTATAACAATGAAGACTTTGTTCTAAATAAGAACTATTGGCGGCTAAATAAGAGCAATATGTGACCCGCTCCAGCATAATACGGACTAAGTCGCAAGTTATTGTTTTGAGTAATGAGCACGCACACATGTCAATGCTGAAAATGGCCTACCTGGACAAAAATGAGATTTTTACAAAAATGAGATTTTTACAAAAATAAGTTCCTAAGTGCATATTTAATCCGGATATATAGGTTCAGATATCTCTAGATTATTATGGTCATTTTTAATTTAAAAAAATAAAAAAATAAAAAATATTTTTTTAAGGGGAACGCTTTATCTCAAAAGCTGCATATTCCGGAATAAGTCGGTTTCCGATCTTCAAATTGCTGTAGATCGGTCAATTCTTTAGACATAGCCAAATATTATATATAATTTTAAAGGTAATTAAATGATCTATTCAGATATGCACATAACTCAATTTGTAGAATTTCCTACTTAATCCTGGTTTTGCTGAAGCGGGTCACATATATACACCATTGAATTTCTTGACTAGTATGTCAAAGGGCTTGTTGGGGGTCCATTATGCAGAGCTTCCAATTGAAATGGCCCATGAATTAAATTGTCAAGTGGAATTGTGTTTTTCGGAACTACAAAGAAAATGTCTCCCTCTTACATGCACCCCCTCCCTGATCAATCACGCTTTCAGGCGTAAACAATAACAGAGATGAAATTCTGTCGAGTTTGTGGCTCTTGATGCATGTGCATTGACGTACAAGACCGTTGAAAGCACAGGCACTTGGAACGTCTCAATAAAAATAAATATTCACAAAATTTTTCACAATGATTGACCGCCTGTGTGCAAAATAGGTGAACGTATGTGAAACATATACGGTTAGTACTTACTGGGACGTATCGGTGACTAACTGCCACCACTAAATTGGTAAAATGTTCCATGCACCTTAAAAAATTCTGAAAAATTCTGAGGTTATCATCGCAGAACTCCCCAACACCGCCCATCCTCATGTCACAAAGCTATATGTAAACAAACACGCGTGTTGCGAGGTGCCTGCCTCCGATATCCATTTCGAGGCCCGCTAAGCCAAGCATAAAGCGCGCGGGAAAGACGTCACAAACACAGCTACGTTCATTGCTAAAACAATCGAGTAGCGCGGTTAGGGATTTTTGGAATTATTTAATTTTAAGAAAAACTTCAATGTTCAATGAATGACGCACTCGTTCACTTCCGAAAGCGGGTAAAAATGTCGAATTTTTCCACTTTGATGCGAAATGGATCGGCCGGGCATTTCATTATTTACGAAAAGTAAACAGGCCGGCGAAAGACAGTCGGTACAGAAACTGGTGACGTTGGTGACGCCCAATTCATGCCCATCAACGAAGAAGGCGGGGCTTATTCTGATTACGGAGATGCGAAAATGCAACAGAAGGACGTAGCACAGTGCGCTAAACAGCGTGTTATTTTCGTATTTGTGCCAAACTCTATCGTAGAAAACCGTTCTAGCCCAGCAGAATGCCCTATAGTTCCTGAGATCGGCGATTTGGTGCTGTAATGGGTCCTACCTTTCAACTTATAAAAACACGGGTGCGGCGGAGGCTGTGATTGGAAGACACAAAGTGTCAATCCATGTGCCGCATCACGTCCAGTTAGTGCCAAGAAATAAATGATGTAGGCCACCTCCATAGGATATTATACATGATTAAAAATAGCAATAAACTACTTATGCAGAAACAGCCCAGTAAGTTATTTCTGCAATCAGAATTAAAAACAATTTAGTGCACAAATGCCACCTGCCCTATACAGTTGTCTCACCAACACCATATATGGAAAAAATTAGAAAACACAAGTGAGGTCTAGCAGTATCATGATATAAAAGTCAAATGTTTTTTTGTTGTCTTAGTGGCTAATGTGCCTAATCGAGCTAAGGGAAAGCAGACAAACACAAGGTAGAAATAATGTGTCTAATCAAAATTAAGACGTTATAGTAACCATCTGTCTTGTTTTAAAATGAGAAGCTTCTATCTTGGTTATTACCAGATTAGATTATAATTACAAAAGGCAGGTGGATTGCACTGTGGTTCAATAACATTACCATCTCTTACAAGTTGATTATTGGAAGCAACGTACATAATGGATGGTAAGTGTTCTTAATTAAAAATACCTTGGTAGATGAAAGACTTAACTATCCATAAATATCCATTTGATAAATGTGATTGATGTGCTATGATACTAAGTGAATGCATACTGTGATCATTTGCTTTCTAATACATACTCATAGTCATGGATTCCCTCAACCAAATATTTATCTTAATAGCTATTCACCTATAAAATATTAATCGAAGATTAATAACCAGTGCTGATAATCACAACGATTACAAACCAGCTAAAAACTAAAAGGCCATTTGCATAATAAAAATGTGATCACTTCTCTCCATTCACATCCTTGCTTTGTGGTGTAAGTTAAACATTAATCAACAGTACTTGCAAAGCCCTTCGGATTGCTTGACTGCCACCTCCACAGGTCTGTACCTAGAAGGAAATTTATGAATTACTATTGGTGATTGGAATGATTTTTGCTGAGAGTTTGAACTTCAACCCACTTTTCAATAAATTCTTCTATAAGCTGTGTTACAACTTTGCTATAACAGTATTTTCTGTTATTTACAAGCTAAATGTTAACAGTGCATTCCAAACAGCCTACTGAACCATTATGAGTACGATCATTGTGATTTGCTTTCTGTCCATTTTTTATATGAAATGAAGCACACACAAAAATTCTGCCATTCTAATAAAAACAGTTTGCACATAGAAGAATCGCCTCACCAATTTCAAAAGTATTACCTAGATTGTTCCTAATCATGAACTGAAAGAGAACCCTTTGTGCAAAATAGTGTTCCTGTTTCGATATATTAAAGCGATTATTGCGAGAATTTTCCAGTGTTTTCCCCACTTTCATGATACCTACCATTATTGCTTGAGTAACAGCAATTGTCTAGAGTAACAATAAAATCTCTTAGAACCTTCGAACCACCGAAAACTGCCAGTTTCGAACTTATCGTTTTTGTAAACATTCGTTTTCTGTCATCTTGAACTAACAGGAAGTATGCATTAGCTTGTGGCACCACCGCTTATCTGCCATACCCACAGTGAAGGCACGCACTTGTTTTCAATTCATCACCGACACAAATACAAGATTACCAATTCTGCCATTAGGGCATTGTCGCGACACGATAAAATGCATTGCTGTTACGATGTAATTTTGAGCAGTTCTAAAGTGAATAGGGCACCAGCCTGGCAAAGCTTATTCTAATATGGGGAGAAACATAGTTTTAAATGTCAGGAACCGAGTTTTAGAATTGTCAAAACTAAAATTATGCCATAACCAAAAGAAAAAGTCGCTTTCTTACAAATTTAAATCAATTTGGGTATTCCAACAAAGATCGCTTCTAATAATGACACCGAAATATTTGTAAACGTGTAGGTGTAAAATATGTATGTTTATGTTACAGTGAGTAAGTAAAGGTCCAGGATGATTTTAAAGCCTGTATTGCGAGATTTTTTCTCAGAAAAACGAAATATAGCTGAATATAGTCTCACCTAACAGTGAAAATATCACTAATTACACCAACATTAAAAATACTAAGATTTTATGCAGTTATAGAAAATTGGATATGAACGGAATGCTATTCAACATAAAG